ATAAGACCTTCCCGAAGATCATGTGGCTTGACTATTTAGGGATGGCCAAAAGGTGAGCCCTGGAGGTACCTAGGAGCTGTTGTTAATCCTGCTAATAAGAAGCTGTGGTTTGTTAAGTAAAATACAGTCCTGGGACTACATTACACCTGGAAACCTGCAACTCCTGTAGCATCCAATTGCAAAAGGGATAGACAGCCAGAGGCATTGCCCATCTGCAATGGACCTGCTCCCCCTTCAAAAGTTCAAATACAGGCATTTTTTGCACGCTTATAGGAGCATTTTTTGTCATTTTCACCACACAGCTCCAAGCAACCAGAGTGCAAATGGCAGCTTCAGCAAAGGCACAAGTCTGATCAGCTCTGAAAGCTGCAACAGTGCCAACCTACATCTGCAAAGTAATGCCAGAGCTGCTGCTGAGACCATGCAAGACTAAAACTTAATGGGAAAATATCCCTGAAACAGAGAAACTGAGCTTGCTCAGCCATATCCCAGAACAAATAGCTCACTGACTTGGCCAGTCAACTCAGGAGGTAGGTATTATGTGTCTACAACAACATAATAATGTAAAAAAAAATCATACCCACACCACCCAATTTGGAAAGGACCATTCTCCCACATTCAAGACCATGGTAAGCATACAGAGCTGTGTCAGCATCTCCATCTGCTCTCTGGAACAGACATCACACAAGATGGAGAAGGGAGAAAAGGTCCTCCAGCATTTTCTCACCAAACCATAAACCAGCAGGGCTGGGCTCAAGGCTCTGCTCCAGGTATCTGTGAAAGGTACTATTTCTATTTCCTCTTCCCTTTGCATTTCAGACAAAAGATGAACAAACCCAATCCTGAATAATGCAGTAGGCTGATGGCTTTGGATGCTCAAGTGAAAGGAGGCCCAAATTCAAGTCCTTGTCTTCAACCAGGTGAAGTAGAAGCATCAAATTCAAATTACTTCCTCTGATCACAGAACACACTGATGTCTAGGATTTCTCTGCTTTTCATCTGCACAACCACTGAAAAAAAAACTTTGGCAAACTTGGAGCCTCCCATTACCAGTGGGATATTGGTTTGGGTTTTTTTATTGAGAAGGGAGTTGTGATAGTGGGTTTTTTCAATCTTCTTTTCCCCCTAGAGAATTGCCATTTTCTCAGATGTCTGAAACAGAATTCTTATTCATAAGAGTAGAACATTAGCTGGGCAATTAGTGCATTCTGACAGAAGTGAAGGAGTATGCTGATGTGTTTTATAAATTATGTATGTGCTGGGATTAGTTTATTGAAGAATTCCTGAAAAAACATGTGCATGTGCTCATAGTAATTCAGCTGTTGCAGCCATTTGCATTTCTCTGGTACTCTCAAGATCCTGCAGCACAGCCTTGAGTTTCCCAGGTCTGACAAAGACACACAGGCAATGAATGGCTGAAAATGAGAGAAAGCATCGGGTGTACAAGGTATCTCTGCTAGTACCAGTGACTGTAAAAAGGAGATGAAAACTCACTAAGACAGAGCATTTTAACTCAATGAGGTAATAACAACAATCTGGTGTTGCTCTCTTCCACAAACAGCAAAATAAATTAACTGCAAACAAAAGCAACCCAAGACTTCAGTAATATCAGGCCACATCAGCTTGTGATGGTCACAGTGAGCAAGAGAACCTCTATGTGTTGATGAGGATGTGACAATGCAGGCAAGTACAACACCTCAGAAATGGACCTAACCACATTTATCTTCTATGTATGTTTGAGGAATAGTAATTTCCCAGCTAGCAAGTGACAGGTTATAAGCAGAGATTAGGATCAGGTTTCCATTATTTATTCTATTATGAAACTTAGCAGGAAAAAAATCCACTGCAAATTTTGGAGGAAACATTCTGAAGTAAGTTGTCCTTCCCATTTATTACTCCAGCCAAAACAGGCTGGATTTCAGAATTTTCTGCAAGCAACTGGTAAAAACCTGTACTCTTGCCTTCTTGAGGCAGCTTGCCTTCTTTGTGCTCATGCTTAAGTCTGTGAGAGCTTCTTCTAAACAGCAGTGTCATCTCCATTGAGCCACTCACCTTGGAGAAGACTCACCAGCTTTGGCAAAATGTTCTCTGGAGAGCTGGAAAAACCTCAGATGAACTTTGGTTGATAGATCTCATATCCTCCTGCATCTCTACAAGCAGATAACTCCCCTGGCCAGACAAGCCTCATGCTTGCTCTTCAGAGGAAGAGTCAGCTTTGACTCTCTCTTTAAACAGAGAGAAATTGCTGAAATAAGCAATTACACTCTGTGACCTTGTAGAAATATAAGAAAGAACTTAATTTTAAAAAATCAGTATTTCTCTGTCTAACATACTCCTGGGGAGATGTAAGGGAGGGTTTTTCTTTCCCACTGATAAGAGTCTCTGGACATGAACTGTACAAGGTGGCCTAGCAAATTTCCTGCCATAACAAACTGCATGGTAAGCAAATAGTGACTAAGAAGCTAGTTCAATATTTACACAACCTTTTCGGTTTTAAGTACATGGCAGATTATTAGTAAAGGTAAAATCTCTTCTGATAAATTAGTAAGATTTTCCACTGAACAGTTTACTCTTTCTCCAGAAGTAGGGAGTGACAATTCCAAGCACACAGCAAAACTCAGATGGAAACTGTGGGCACACAGCAGGATGAGCAACCCAGTGTAGAGGGGAAGAGCAAATACACAGGGTCAGTGACAGTGAAGCAACCTGCACAGAGCAACTCTTCTCAGTGTTGGTACCTGAAAGGAACATGCTGCTGCCTCCTGGCTTGCTTTTTTGGGGCTCTTTACCACATAATGAAGATGCCTAATGCTGATAACGTTTATTTATGTGAGGAGGTGAGCGCACTGCTCCAGAAGCTGCAGTTCTTGTGTGCACTGAAATTTTCTGTGAACAAAACACTAAGGTTGCAGCTTGCCTTCCTCCTCCTGCCTGACAGAAACTAGAAATAACAAGAATGCAGACAGCATTGTCTTTGGGGAAACAACAGCAATCCTTTAAGCCCAGAGCCTTTACAGGAGCAGGGATGTTGGATTAGATGACCTCCAGTGGTCTCTTCCAACCATCCCGATTCTGTAACATCATGTCCAGGAGCTTTTATTCTGCTTTTTAAAACAAACAAAAGAAACAGAATGTGAGACCACCAAGCATTTGGGAAAACACCAGGGAAAGATGACCATGTCAAAGAAGAGTAGAGATGCTCATTCATTGGAAGTGAGGGATGAGAACTTTTGAAACATAATGAAGTTTTGACTTGGCAACCTCAAGATCTTGGCTAAAACCCACAATTTAAAATCAGATGTTTATACAACTAATGAAATCACTCCTATAGTGTTTTTTATAGGAATGTACAATATAGTAAGTACAGAACATTTTTATCAGTAAGGTAACAATGTATCAGAGCTTGCTCTTATTGCCACTTTTGCCTGTGTTTGCAAACACCCCTTCACCTTTCTCCCCTAGAATGGCAGAGCCAGTGTGGGCAGACAGCCTATGGCAGACTACTTACAGTAGTTGTAAGACAGTGTTTCAGGTCATGTTCTCACTCTTCCTCCCACACCTACCTCTCACAGCATCCCTTCTGAAGTGCTCTTTCACTTTCATCCTGTTTTAACAGGGCTTTTTCCTGCTTTCCTAAGGTATCAGACAGTTGTGGATATGAAATAATTACTCTGAGGTCACTGCTCTACAGCAATGTACTACTAGAGTTGTATTGAAAGCAAAAGTTTCCAATTCCTTAAAATAAATTAACCCTTCCTCAGTACTGGGGCTCGAAATTCTTTGAAAATTAGTGGGGTCCAAAGAAGCCTCTTCCTCTGTTGTACACAGATATAGGTTTTGTGTCCTTTATAGATGGTTTGTTTTCCCTTCACAAAGTGACTCCTCTTACCTTGTTGCTAGGGAAGCAAGAGCAATTCCATCAAGCCAGAACTGAGATGACTCACCAGATACTCCACTCAACAGTGCCCTGGCAAGAAACAACTGTCCACCACAGAGTACTCCAGTATTTGGCAGCAAGAGCTGTGCTCTTGTGCAAGTTCTGATTGCCAGACTTGAAGACCCAGGCTCCTCACATGTGGGGACAGTTCCCTGAAGCTCTCTCTTACATGCAGAACTCTGCTGAATATATTCACCCATCTCCAATTTCCAGTGGTGGAAAACCAACCCTGCTCTGCAATCCCAATCTGTTTTGGGCTGCTAAAACTGCTAAAAAAGCATTTTTCAGACTTTACCAGATGTTGTAACATGAATCAGTTACATTATCCATACTTCAGCTATTTTCTGTTTGGCCTACTGCTTCCCAAAAGTAAGAACACGGGGGAAGGGTGGGCACAACCAAGATAAATCCCAACACCCATAATAATAATAATAATAATAATAATAATAATAATAATAATAATAATAATAATAATAAAAATAATAATCAAAATAAAGAGTGTCTATGTGATATGATCACAGAAAGGCATGTTTCAATTCTTGATTTTTAAAAGCCCTTGGTCAGAATGAAGTCTACAGCATAATACCTGCCTCTTGCCAACACTCATACTTCTATATAGTGATGACACAGTGTTATTCAGCTCTTTAAAAAAAAAAAAAAAAAAGCCCACAGAATTGAATGTCACCATGGGAACAGTCTAAAGTTGAGTTTGGAAAAAGGCTCATTTCCTATAGCTTTTCTGTTGGCATAAAAATAATGTCACTGAACTGTATCAGAAGTGCTTTATGAAGTATCATCTCTGAAGATACCATCCAGTTCTGAAAATATCCTCCCTAATGGTTGCATTTCTTTACTTCCTGAAGCAGAATAAAGGGCCCAGAAACACTTCTTCCCTGTTTTCCTCAATAAGAAATACACCCTAATTGTGTGATCTAATTCCACATTCTTCAGCCTGCAATATGTAGTGTCAGTATGGAAAACTTCCTCTTCAGAAGAACAATTAAACTTTAAAGGAGTTATCCTCATTGGCTGGCTGAACAAATGACACATGTTCACACAAGAATTATTCAGTCAACCATCTTAATAAGGATTTACTTTGAACAGAACCTTGTATGGGTACACTAGACTCAGTCTCATTAAGGAGCAAGTTGGATTTTTATACAGCATGAACCACTGGCAATCTAAAACAGACCCACTGAAGAATGGAATGGAGAATCAAACGCAATGTTTCAGACCCAAGCTCTATGTGCCTTTAATACTTTCTTTTTCCTTTTCTTTCTGAGAGAGTGCACACTACGACATTTGCATTTATCATGTTTTTAACTTCTTTTCTAAGGATGAACTCTCTGAATCTGTATCTTCCAACTCCGCTCTGTGTCTTTTCAGTCCTCCAAGAGACTGAGTGCTCTCACTGCCTGCAGGATGCAGGCCAGCAGAATCCTCTCTTGTGCTCACATTGTAGCTGTTGGAGTCCATTTCAGACAGGCAGCAGTCTCTGTGCAAGGTCACACCCACCTGTACAAGGTTGCCATTATCAGCATTTGAGTGGCCCTGTAGTCCTTGTGTCACAGACTCCTGCTCCCCAAAACTCTGTCCATGGTTGAAGCATGAAGGGTGAAGATGCAAGTGGCCATTATTGTGGTTAACGCAGGAGGGTTCAAAGCTCCTCTCCTCACTGCCATCAGTCTGGTTTCTGGAGCAGTGACCTGACATGCTACAGATGGCAACAGCGGGGAATGGAGGAACCAGTGAGTGATGGCTTGGTGCTGGTTGACAGTTCTGATTATTTTTCTGTTCCGCAAGTCCTGTAGTCTGAATGCAAGGTTCTTCAGTACAGCTATTCAGCCCTTTGCAGTTAGCTTTTCCATTGAGTTTTTTAGTCTCAAAAGAATGCTCTACACCTCCACTACTCGTGTCTTCCGATGTGTTTTCTTGACCTTCCATCTGCCGCTGATTGTCACGTTCATGAGCTTGACCATTACTAGAATTTTCTATCCCACCATACTCTTTTAAATTTTCTCTGTTGTGGTTTTCAGCAGAAAGAGCTGAGGAACCCTGAGGAACTACTGAACTTAAGTTCCTAGCATCTTCCTTAGTTAGCGAGTGTGTTACGCTGTGCCTTCCACTGGTTCCTGGTTTCCCTTCATCATTTTCTCCATCTCCTCTGGAGGATTCACCATCTTTACTAGCTGAATATGATATGTAAGAATAATGGAGCCATTTGTAAGCTTTGTAAATCTTTCTCTCCACTGATTCACTGTCTGAACAAGGAGACGTCCGTTCTTTAAGAACTTCTTTGTTGGCCAAACTCCTTTCTGGTGAAGAAGCTGGAGAGGAAGAAAGATCATCTACTTTGATCTGGGGGTAATCATATATGTCCTCACCTATGTAAGGGGTTACATTCTCTGTGTTAGTGCTAGTCCTTTCCTCCTTTTGCACCTTCTGTCGGCGCCTCAGTGCATTGCGTTGCCTCATCGATGTGCGTCTTTCATTCAGCTCCTCTTCATCTTCTGTGCTGCTGCTGCTGCTGGAACTGCTGGATTCATTCTCCTCGGGACTTGGAGACGGCGGCCGTGGGAAAAGGTCTGTATCTAGCTCTGCCTCGCAGGTATTGTCATCAGAGTCAGACTCATTGGAAAGGGCCAGGAGACGTTTGTCCTGATACTTTCTCAGTGCAGAGAGCCTCTGCTGACGGGAAGCCACGTCTTCTCTGGCTGAGGGAGATGCAGTTGATCTTAAGGCCCTTAAGTTATAGGCAGTTTCATCAGACTCTTCAGCCACGTGTGGGGGAGAGTGATGCAAAGAGGTGGAGGACTCTGACTCGCTGTAAGCGGAGCGTTCGCTAACTCCTGCATGGAGCTGCAGGATTGTGCTCTCACTGAGGTCGCTGTCTGAATCAGAACTCCAGCCCTCGATCTCCCGGCGCACCAGAGAGTCAAAAAAGGCCATCATCCGTGGATCTTCCTGGACCGATTGGTTGGCATAATCGTGGGACAAACCACTGCCACTGTTCAACACAAGACTGATGTACTCTTCATGAGTGTAGAGGCAACGCGAATCATCCTCAATTCTACCATCCAGGTCCCCTGTGCAGTCAGGCTGCTTGTAGGGACTCCAGATCTGTAACAGAAAATAAAAAAAAACCCCAAATATATATCTTTGAATTAATAAACTATTATAAGCATTTGAAATGGAACAGTAGGTCAAATACCCAGAATAGCTGCAGGTTGCAGATTATTTTTATTAATTTTTACCCCTCAGTACCATACTTACAAGTATTACAGAGCTGTGGGATTTTTTTTTCCCCCTTCACAAATGTGTTTTTTCTGCATTTACTTCACCCATACAGAATGTAAAAGCTCTCACACTGCAAATTATCCATCATTTTGGTAATTCATTGTGTGATAATTTCTCCAAATTGCAGGGCTCTATTTTTATGTAATAAGGAATGCTTACTCACTAACAGTAAGAATAGTTTGTTGCCTACAATACAGTCTTAGCAGCACTAATGAAGGCACTTGTTTCCCAGGAAACTAGAGTTGCTGGTGCTAGTGGTGTAGAGTAGCATTTCATCCAGCTACGTAGTCAATCCCACCTGATCAGCAGGCAGGGAGCTGAATGCATGGAGGTGAAAAGTAGAGCTTCACTACTCCCTTTAGGAAACAGTTATAAAGAAAAGAAATCTTCCAATGTCCTCTGAAGACACAGCAGTAGTTTTAATAGGTGAAGTTGAAGAGTTTTACTGAAAGCTACTTTTGAAGTGTACTGATTTCACCAACAGCAACAGTCTTGACTATGCTGTCTATCTATCCTTCGGTCAATTTTCCTGGTATGGAGAGGAAAAGGAAAAAAAAACTCCAAAAGAAGATCCAACAATATCCCTAAGAAATTAGTAATCCGTAGCAAACGTAATAGTTGGATGTCCTCACCCTTCTCAGATTTACTCACAGATTTGAGGGCAATATGATTATGACATTCTGTGGACAACCACTATCACTTTGGATCAGTGGTTTATGGAATGAACAATGCCTTACTGTGAGCAGAGCCAATATGTACCTTATCTACAACAATGCCTTAATGTTCTGCTCAAAAAAGATCTGATCTCAGCCATGCTTTGGTTTTATTATGCTAACAAGCTCAGGGGAAAAAAAATCTATGCCAGCTCTTTATACCAGGTTGGAATTTTGGGATAGTCTTTGGAAAAAAAAAAAATCTAACAATTTTCTCAACAGAAATTAATTTTGTTCCAAACAGATAAAACTGCTAACAAAAAGTGTTTGCACATATAAATTACATAATCAGCACTCACATTACAGATGCCTAATTAACATATGCAACATAGCCTGCTACTATGACAAGCAGCATAAGAAAAGTCCACAAGAATGCCAATTACTCTGTATTCACTGAAATTTTCAATAGTGTACAAAAAACCTTACACCTTTAATAATGGAAGCAAAATTAAATAAATTACCTTGCATCTACTTGTCCAGAACAGCTGGATTTAAGATGAACAAGTAAACTTTTTTCTGGAAGTCTTCCAAATAGGAAAGCTTTTACTTTGCATTTTCTGTAATTTATGGTTAACAGAGCTTCCACATATGATCTGGCTAGATAGATAAAAGAAACACTATTCAAAAATTAAAGTGCTGCAGATATACTTTCTTCTGCAGGCAATCATCAAGCTGCCTTTCAGAGCAAAGGGAAAGGAACATTATATTGTGTTACATCAGGCTGTTTCTAGGAAGATCTCAACATCAAGGTGTATTTTCTATTGGCACTTAATTATTTTTTGTTATTTTAAATACTTCATCAAATTGTCATCCAGTGCAGTTCTTTAATATGGCACTTGAAACCAGAATGAAGACAGTTCTCTGCTGCTTGGTTCCAGCACTGCACTTAGCAGACACATAGCCCAAAGGACAAGCAGCATGTTTGGATGAAGATAACAAAACTCAATCTAAGCCTACTATGTACAGAATTTCAGCAACCAAACTTAATCTTTTGGAACTATTCAAGAGAACAGAAAGAATCACTCTTCATCTTCAATTTCTCAGGCTCCACTTCCTAAAGACAACATAGGTAAGAGCCTTCTCTCAGTGAATCCGTGAGAGAGATTGTTGATTTGTGGATACATCACATTTTTTTTAAAACACTCCTTTAGAAAAATAGAACTCTACTTGTTGAAAAGACTATTCTGGGTTGCTGCCTTCTTGATGATTTATGTAGCATGTGTTCAGTAGCTTCTCTCACAACCTTAGATCTTTTCCCCCTTTGTCCCAGTACTGAGCATTTCAGCAAGCAGATCAGATCTTTTTTAGAAGCATTTAGCTTCTTGTAAATGCTTCATACTGTGTGCTTAGACAGGCAGCCTGGCATGCCCCTTCCTCAAATAATCTTAGCAGCATTAGACTGCCTGCTAGGTTTTATAAAGCCTTTTTTATTTTTTAAGGAAGAGAATTATAAAATGCTTAGAGCTGGTATGAGCCAATATAAGTGGAGGAGAGATAGTCTGCTCCAATGTCCCTCTGAGAAAGGCCTGTTTGTAATGAAATTAATCTAAAAAGGTATGTAAAGTGTGCACAGAGATGTTCTACATCCTTGGTAGCACTACCACATCTTTCTGCTCTCACTGCAAGCATCAGAAAAAAAAAAGAGCAGTATAAAATATTGAAAAAATAGCTACAAAGAGTCCACAGTGAGGTTTTAACCTTCCCAGAGAGATTACTTCACAGAGAAGTAAGTAATAAAGAGAAGTCAAGGGAATTCAGGATGAATACCTTGTTTGTATGAGATCAGCTGTCTCTGGAGAATGATATCCCTGCATTTTAAATATTTTGTTATGAGGGACTGCGAAGGCCTGCCAGAGTCAAAGAAAGAAATCAGACTAAGAATCTATCCTTGACAAAATGGGGAAATCTTTAAACTGGTATCAACTGATCCAGTGCTCTCTGTGGCATCTGAAATGGGCTTCTTTGTAAATGGAATGCCCTTGCCTGTTTCTCATCCTCTGACTGATATTATGTTGAGGAATAATGTGATCAAACTGGAGAAAATAAGTTGACAAATCAACCTACTGAGGCAACAATATATCAAGAAGTTCTTTCTCTGTCAGAAAATTAAGGAGATGAATATTACTCACTGATGACCTGAGTACAGATATAAAAATAGGAATAATAACAGAAAACGGGAATAAAAACTGGTTCTCTACTTCAGTAGATATCTACTGACAGCATCTTTGAATTCCTTGTATTCCAGGGTGGCAAATCCCCAATTCTTAAAACAAAAAAGTAGTTATGCCTGTAGCGTGAGAATAATTAAAACCACTTAGATTATCTGATTAGGCAGAGGCAGATAGTCACAATGACATTAATCTGTCACCATAGCAATGTGTGCAAATAGACTTTGTTATCTCCAACACACTTATGATTTTTAAACAAATGGGACCCACAACAGTTGTGCTCTGTTACACAGTATTCTATTTTCAATACAAATCAGATTTTTTTTCTACAAATTCATATGTATTTCATCTATTTTTGTCTTTCCTGGAACTTTCTCCTAACTGCATAGCTCTCTATGGCCCTCCTTGAAGCCCAACACATCAGAGGGAATGCCACATTTATTTCTTCTGCAATGCAATCTCTTTTCCTGCCAGCATATCCCAATGTCTTGCACACTTGACTGAGGGGAAAGTGGTATTTTTCTGTTTAATATTGCTTTAGCCCTTGTGGTTAATCCTTGATGCAAATGATTATTTTAGTTTGCAGCTGCACTTTTTCATACAATTTTACTGAAGTTCAGTAAATAAAGGGCAAAGAACAATTCATTTGGGTTGATGTGTCCACCACACACTGTCTGGAGTTGAGGCTCTGAATATCATCTGATTGTTGGGTCTTATTTTTGGTCCTAGCAGAAATCAAACCCTAAACCAATGAATTACTGAATTGTATTCTTGAGGATGCTTCACAACAAAATAAAACTAAAGCAAAAAAACCATAACCACAAAAAACAAAATAATTCTTGTGCATACTACTCTTTTCTGTGGGGCTAGGCTTGAGATGAATTTGTATCTTATTTGCAATCAGCATAAAAATAGCAAATGTGTTGGCAGAAGCTCATGGAATTATTGAATGGCTTGATGGTGGTGCTATCAGTTCCTCCCTTCTTGAAGTACTAAATTTAGGCCAGCTACTCTAAAAATTAAGAGCTCAGACAAACAACTACTTGCATCCACATTTTTAACACATCACCATGTCTCTACAATTGCAACCAACCACAGTGACGTTATCTTCTGTGACTTAATTCCAGAAAGGGTTTTAGAAGACACTTGAGGGATAATAAAAATGACACTTTTTAAGAAAGTGATTAAAACAAATAAACAAAAAGGAATAAAATAAGAAAACAAAAAATTTAACTATGATTTTTATTTACAGGTTCTTCTCCTGTCATCTCAATTTCTCTGAGTAAGTGCATCAAGCATTTATACAGGGGAAAGACAGCTATGCAAAGGAAAGACTTGTGTTCCCAGCTGTTTTTAATGCAATCAATGGCCTCTCAGAACTGCTGGTGCTGTTTTTCCTGTTTTGCCCTTCTGTTAGTGGCAGTTACTAGTCTCCAACCTGCCCACAGGTGGAATGAAGAAGAAACCACCTTTGTAGAGTCACCTGCAAACTGCTGTGCACTGAAACAGCACCTTTAGAGAGTGAAGTCAGGCAGCTCAGACAAGACGTGAGCACTGAAACAACCCGAGCCCCAAACAAGGCACATTACAACTGAGACAAAAGGACATACAACAAAAGGGTAAGAAGTTCTGCCTGGCCAATAAACTTAATACATTAAACACATTTTCCCTTAATTTGTTTCTAGCTTGAAGTATCTGGGGAATTCAGTTCCTTCAAAGCAGCTGCACAAGTTCCACTGCACACACAGTGACACAACAGGAATTCTCTTCTAAGGAAGCGCTCAAGCAGAGGTGTCTTTGAAAGAGTTACACAACCTGTGACTGCAGCCTTAATCAAACTAACCTTTTAATCACTAGGCAAAAAAAATTGCTCTGCCAAAACCCTAGCAGAAGTACACAAAAGCAACACAGGGGTTGTTTATACCAATGCTAATCCAACAGTCTAAGCACACTCATGCAGGAAGGATTCATAGGGTGAAGGGTCAGCAGATCTAGAATCCAAAAGGGAAAATTCAGGCTGCATGAATCAAGTTCCCAAAGGAAAAAAAAAAAAAAGAAAAAAAGCCTTTGGCAAAACTGTTGTTAAACATTGGCAGTTTGACTGCTTGGAAATTGAAAAATCACTGAGCTGCTAAGACTGTTCAATGCACTTTTGTACAAAGCCTGTATTTAATATATTTGTGATCAAACCTGTCAGGCAGGCAGCACAGATGAAAAGAAAAGAACTGAAATACCAGGGGAAGACAGGAGAGAAGGAAAGCTGAACTACAGTCAGAACCCAAATGCTGACAGTAGCTGTAATGCAAGCAATGCAGTGGAGCATTGAGCCATGGTCCCAGCAATTAGGGACAGCTCTGGTCCATAAGTTGTACATCACTAAAACACTCATTTTCAGGACAAATTCATCCTATCAATGTGTACCTGACAAAATAATTTACTATATTTGAACAACATTATTTATAGCCACAGGCAGGTAAGACTTCCATTAAATTATTCACCAAATAGTTAGGATCAACAGCAGTCCTTTTTATCTTACTTCAAAATTAAGTAGTTATGGCTTTTTTCACACTGTTGATAGACCTCAATTATAGCAAAGTATCTATGGCACCAGAATGCAAATCACATTAGTGTAGCATAATCCTTTGCCTTCCCAACCAAATAACAAAATTGGTTTTGCCTTGCTTCCACAATATTGACTGTATTTCCTTAAGGAAGGAAAATTTCAGAACCTAACAAAGTTTCTTATCTCTTTCAGTTCCAGAGAAAAAGGTAAAAAACTTGCTAAAAGTACAGTACATTGTTAAAGGATTCAGAAAGATAATGTCAAGGTATTGGGAGTTCTTCCTCTGGAAATCACAGAAAAGGTATGTTGAATTGATTCAATGCACAAATATGTACAAAAATTAAAGAAGGCCTTCTGAGGCATTATTCAGCCAGGTCAGTCTAGGCTAAGGTTCAACAATACTCTTTGCAGATACTTTTATTATATTTTAGACCAGAGTATCACAAGTTGTAGGAGATCACATTAGAACCATAACCAAACTCAACCAAGCAGACGAGACAAAACATTTTATAAAACAATAAGAGGAGACAGAATGGGTGTGGACCAGAATGATGCTGAGCAAAACAAAGCACTTCTTCCTGAAAGATTGAAAGAACACATTTTCTGATAACTAATCTTACCTTTATAATCTTTTCAACGCCAGAAGAACAGATCATGTAGGTGTGAGGATTAAACCGCACTTGGTTTACAATTGACCGATGACCTTTCAATACCATAAAAGCACCGTTGACAACCCTGCCAATGCCACCTAGGGGATAACAAGCACATGTGGACATGAATAATTAAATCTTCACATTATTTTCAGTCATAGTCATTTAAAGTCCTATTGTATTTGACAATGCCTTTCAGCTTTATTTTGCAATATTTTAAGGCCTGTGTTAGCTGCAGAATTCCAATTTTATGAGCAACGCCCCTATGAAAAGCCGCAAGTTTGATGAAAAGCATCCTTCCTGCAAATTAGGATTTTGAGGCTTGCTTTGATTCATCTAAACAAACAATGAAGGTCTTTGACCTAATATGACAAATATGCAAATGAGAACAACATACATAATGAAATACCAGTGATGATACATAATGAAATCACCAGTGAAACCTAAGGCATGACACAGTTTGTAAATCTGAAGCAGAGACAATTAAGAGGTTGGCTTTTAACAGCAATACTATTTTGCAAATTTATTTTTTTAAATCAGCAATTTATTACTGTCACAGTTGACTCTAGTCTGGTAAATAGAAAGGACCTGAAATAACACATCTGAACAGTGGGTTATATCATTCTTTGTCACAAGGCAGTGAATTAGCCAAAGTGGAATGCTTTTGTGCTAGTGGCAAAACTCATAACAGAAGCCAATTAACTTTTCTGCTTGGTCATTGACTTTTACTAGGTCTATACACCAAAGCAAGAAACAGTCACACAGTATTTTTTTATATTCATAGACTCACCAGTTAAAACTACAAATTTGTTAGACAGAACAGCTGTATATTTGAATAAACAAGTGTCCATCAACATGCTATGACTTAACATTTTCAGTGAAAGAAAACAAAGCTTTTAAATGCCGGGAAGTAAAAACTGACAATCACTTCAGATGAAAATCAACTTGCTATTTAAAACTTAATATGTTTTAAGTACACCTTACAGAAAATTAAAATAATTTCACTATCTTCTGTGCTACTTACAGTCATCTTTACAGTAAACAAACTTTATGTTCCTCTTGTTGAAAATGTTTGCTATCTTCCTTTTACCCCAACAGGAGCTATTTCAGCTGAAACAATTGCTGTTTTATGCCCTGTGTTGAACAACTTGCGTTCTAAAACAGAGTCAGAGTTCTCCTGTAATTCACACTTCCTAAAGAAAAACTTGCATTACTACTGAAGTGTAGCAAGATAGAAGTGTCAAGGGGAAAAAAAACCATTCTCATATCACCTTTCATTTGTTAGGTTACACAAATGATGAAAACAACTGCAGCTAATGACCTTGTGTACAGCCCCTCTCCTCTTAGAAAGTGCTTATCCTTTTGACTCATTATAATTGCACTCTGAAGAACTGACTGATATTTAACATGGAGAACAAACCATGAGAAGTATTTAGAAACAAGGTGTCATCCAAGTCCTAAAAATCCAGAGACAGATCTTTTACTGCTCCTGGAAAGTGTTCTGCTTTGCACAATTTTTGCACACCAAACTGCTGTCTCATGGCACCTTGGGATAGAAAAATAAAGTTCCTGAGAAAGGGTAAAGTGATGGCAAGTAAATCCAGGGACCAAAATGCACACCTCACTGCACCGAAACTTCACTGAGACTGAGTTACCTGCATCAAGTTCTATTCGGGTACATTTGTATTTTCTGTAAAGATTCAGGGACTCGTTCTGCCTTCAGCCACTGGAGCAATATTTCACCACTGTCAGCAAATTTGACTGAGAAGGAACTTATTGGAGAGCAAGTTCATTAAATGCCAAATTAAGCTCTTTTGATTTTATTTTCCATTTTATGAGCTTCCTCAAGTCCTTTCATTCTGCTCATCCTGCTAGACACTTATGGCTGATGGTAAATTGCTGTTAAACTGCCCTACTCCCACAGCATTCCTTCCAGCCAAATCAGAGCTGTCAGTGCAATTGTATCTATCAAGCCAAGAGTAGATGCTTACATCAAGACCAGATCTCTACACATCTTGACCTAGCAGACAAATATTCCAAGAAAGAGAGCCTCAGGAATGAAGAGAGAGTTCACTTAGGAAATGTTTCCAAGCCTGTAAGTGATGTCTAAAACAAGTTTTAACTATCCACGGACTGTAGCTGCATGAATTCTGTACCAAACAAGAAATATGTCCTACAAATCACTAATGAAAGAGTCAGAGGGACTATGAGCAAAGAAAGAATTATAATGGAGATTAAAAAATACCATATTCCAATATCTTGGGCTGCATTTCTAAGTCATTCATTGGCCTTTTGTGGTACTGTCAGCAGTGTGAATTAACCCATGGTTATTTTCCTAGTAGAAGAGTGAGAGGAGTAATTTAATGCCAGAAGTGTCTTCTGGGGCCTCCTGCACAAGAAATACCTGGAGGTGTTGAAATGGGTCCAGAGGAGGGCCACAAAAATAATCAGAGTGAAGGAACATCTCTCCTACAAGGACAGCTGAGAGAGCTGGGGTCGTTCAGCTGGGATGAAAGAAGGCTCCAGCGAGAACTCATTGCGGCCTTTCAAAAAATGGGACTTATAAGAAAGACAGACAATTTTTACCAATGCCTGTAGTGACAGAAGAAGGGGCAACAGTGTAGGGTTATATTGGGGAGTGTAGGGTTATATTGGATATAAGGAAGGCATTTTTTCAAATGAGGGTGATGAGACATGAGAACAGGTTGCCTAAAGAAGTTGTGATTGCCCCATCTCTGGAAATGTTCAAGGCCAGATTGGATGAGGCTTTCAACAAGCTGGTCTCATGGAAGGTCCCTGCCTTTGGACACCTCCATCCCAACCCATTCTATGATTCTGTAGTTTTATAATTCTATGAAGGAACTCCAAAGCTTTGTGATTTAATATTGAAGTTCCCTGAACTCCTTTTAGGCAGCTATCAGTAAATTCAGGGAAAGCATAGTAATATAACATACTACCCTCCTCTTAAAATGAAGGTGAACTTCCCCACAAGGCTCCTTAGAAGAACTGCCCAATTACATGAAATTGCCCCAGGAGAAGTGCAAATCTTAGCAGTGAGCTTTTACCAATGGTATGGGAGGCTTGCATATTTTAAACCAGAAAGTATTGACTTCAGCAACACTCTGATAATCTTTATGTCAAATATAATAAACTTCCCCAGAACCTCATTTTTGGACAATCCCTTACTTGATGCAATTTAAGTGTAGAAACTCCTTTGTGTGTAAATGACACCTTTAAGTAAGCTCTTAATGCAAAGTCTTCTCCATCCTTACATTGAAAGCAGTCTCTCTATTTTATAGTAGCCCACCACAGCTGTCATCATATTCATGTGGTAGTTTTGCATGAGAGGCATTCACCAAAACCACTACAATTACTTTAGTATCTGCATGGCAGAAATCTGCCTGTGCTCAGACTTCTCTGGAGTCCCTCTGGTCTCTCAGCAGAGGCTTACCTGCAGCCATACAGCCTTCAGCCATCTCAGAGTGTGAGTTAACTTTACTCATCTCTGCTGGCAAAAAAAAAAAAGCATCTGTAGATTAAGTGGAAGCTAGCTATAAACTGCTTAAATTCCTGATGGTATCTTCCTTTTTTTCCATGTAATAAATTCCATTTCCTTTTGCTGTCTTCCTTTGAAATGGTATTTTTATTTGTATTGTTTCAGCAAAATTAACTTCTGCTATCCTAAAACCACTCAAATTTTTTTGAGGTTTGAGGTTTTTTTAGTGGAAAGGGGTGTTATTTGTTTGCTTTTAAATTTAGTAGCATGCATGAGCTCTGCAAGTCTTTTAAGCATGGCAGCTTTTATATTCTTAGCTAGCTCCAACATGTATAGGCAGTGTTCATAGAGAAGTCATTAGCTTACATATCTGATATTAATAATATTAAAAAAAATAAATCCTAAAGTCTTCAGAGGCTGACTATGCCAATTTTAGAAGGTTTATAACCTCTGGAGGGAAGAAATGGATATGTTCTAGCTGATTTTGCAATACTACCCAGAAATTGCCATGGTTTAAGAGTCCTGAGTAGTGGTTTAGTATTCTAGCTGTGTTGGTCAATGGGTCTGTTTTTATTTGACACTCAAAGTTAAATATCAAGAAAATTACTCTTAATTTATACCCTGCAAATACGTGTTCCAAAGAAGAGTAATAAAAAAATCTCAAAAAGTCCTTTAAAGAATATCCTACAATGACATCTGACCAGCTTAAAGAAGTAAATTTAAAAAGGCTAAATCTAATGTGCACATTTTAAAACAGATTTCCTGTACATGTTTGACAAGAATACCTTTGCAACACAAGGCCTCTCTGTAGGCTCCTGTGCAAAGGAAGGAATATTTTGAAGTAGTTGATGTCTCCCAAGTTGCCAAAGTGATTTCTTCTTGGTTTGCTTTATAAATTTATGTTTACAGTGTTAGGCTAATGAACTACTTCTTAATTATGTGGGTTTGCAAATACTTATGTGAATGATTTGACATTCGAACATATTGCAAACATGCTGAATGGTACATCCCAATGCATTTTTAAAACTCTAGAAAATTATAACAAAGGAGAGTGACAGATTAAGATATCAATCTAACTTCCCCTGCATGAGTTCTACAACAAGAAGCAACATATAGAAAAAGCCAGAATAAACTATTTGAAGGATAAAGAAAAAGCAAAAGTGATAGATTACTGAGAAAAATGTTCTAGTACAGAAATCTTGTAAGAATGTAGAACAGTCTCCAAACTAATGGAAGCTGCATTGTTCCAAACATTAAAGAAACCTGTCAAAATGCCATAGAACATGTTGAGATAAGGAACTATCTTCCACTGGCTCTGTAACAGAGGAGTTAAATGACCTCATTCAGAAGTCTTTTCTATCTAGGACACTGGAAAAGAAATCCCACTGTTTGTTCATATAAGGTAGAAACACATTCCACAGACTAAAGCATAACTTCATACAAGCCTTGTGAATTACTCAAAGTGCTGAAAACTCCTGAGAAGAAGCAGATATTTGCAGCTGCTACCAGCGTGCCATAGCATACCATTCCACTGCAGTACTTGGCACTACAGTAGTAGCTCATTTAAAGTTAATTTAGTTTTCACTAATAGTAATCCAGGAT